AGGGAGGACATTCACTGTAGGGAGGAGGTCAGTGCAAGGAGGTGGTCAGTGTAGGGAGGTGGTCAGTGCAGGCAGAGGGTCAGTTCAGGGAGGACATTCACTGTAGGGATGGGGTCAGTGCAGGGAGGTGGTCTGTGTAGGGAAGGGGTCAGTGCAGGGACAAGGTCAGGGTATAGAGGGGGTCAGTGGAGGGAGGAGGTTCAGCATGGGGGGGTTCAGTGCAGGGAGGTGGTCAGTGCAGGGAGGGTTCAGTGTAAGGAGCAGCTAAAAACAGTTCTCCTATAGTTACTGACAATGAGGCCCTTCTGCAGAGAAGGGGGGAAAAACACCAAAAAGCCCAACTCAGAATTAGGATTCCGTCAGATTCTAAACCAGCAGTTCCACAGACAGCACCGCTGTGCAGCCCCAGATAAAAACGTCTCTGTATAAGAAATGCTCAATGCTGTGATGATCCGTTATCCAGAAACAATTGTCAACCTCTCCCAGTCCCACAGAAATGCTCGGTTATCAGGACTGAGCGTGGGCTGTTCAAACTCAAAACACGCATCTACCAGAAACAGAGGGCGTTTTGATTACTCCCAAGGACAGACAGGGAGGCCACCATTTTTTCTGGGGTACTTTGCTGTCTTAAGGGGAGGGAGGGAGAGAGGGAGAAGGGGGGGGGAGAAGGAAGGAGGGAGGCAAGGAGCCAAGAAGGAAGGGCAGGAGGGAAGGAGGGAGAGAAGGAGGGAGGGAAGAGAGCAGGAGAAAGGACTGATAGTCTGATGAATGCTCCAGGCCGAGTCTTCCAAAAAGGCCTAGATTTATTAAACTATCCATTCTGTCATTATATCTGATGTAAACACTGCCTAGCCAAAACCACCTGCCACCTGTGTTATTCACTTATTCTGATGAAAAAAAAAAAAAAATAAATCAAAAAGTACATCCTAAGTTGGCAATGTAGGGCACAGAGGAGAGAGAACACTGCTTTACACAACAATCAACAAATTAAAAAATAAATAAAAACAAGAAAAGAAACATTTCCCTCTGTCCTCTCGTGGAGGCTCAGGGGGTTGACACCAAACACAGACAAATCAAGACCCACAGACCGTTGACACACACAGTAGGAAGCGAATTTATTTCTCTGGTTTATTGGGCAAGAGTCCAGTCTGAGGAGCATTAAATAAGAGAAACGGTCAAGAGGGGACCTGTCCCCTTAAAGAGGGGACAGAGGAAGCTTGTGATACACACTTTGGGGTGGTTTACAAAAAAAAAAAAAGCAAAGGACTCAGAGACAGGTGAAGGGCAGGGGAGTGACCCCACAGAATGAGAACCCACAGAGAGGAAAATACTGACCTGTATTTTCCACCCCACAGGACCCCCAAACTTTCCCTTAAAAAGGCAAGTTGAACAGCTTTCTCTAAAACTGCACAGCCCGTGAGAACATAAGGATGGAATTCTGTGTTCTTTGCAGCCACACGTCAGAAGTCATCACCTGGATGTGAAAATGCCAGGGGCTTCTGGGATCCCTCGGCAATCCCGTCAGCTGTGGGGGGAGCGGGGGGGGGGTACTGGCAGAATATTCCCAGTGACCCAAATGGGGTGGTTTCCCAACAGCCATCCCTCCCTACACACCGACTGCCCTAACCAGTCTTATCGTATTGCACGGGGGACTCAAATACTTCAAGCCTTTTTGGACCAAGGTGGTCACTAAGTGAAAGCATTTTCCCTTCAAAAATTAAAAAGTAGTTCTCACTGTTGGAAAATAACTATCCAGCTTCTCTAGACCATGGGGCACAGCGCATAATAATTTCACCCACCCCCAAGGTAAAACTATCCGGGAATAATAATAATTATTATTAATTTAATTAATTGCACCCACGGTATTGAATTCAAACAAAGAACTCAGGAATTCTTCACTGTAATGCAACCTGAAACAACCCTGTCTGTACCAAGAAAGCTGGATGAACACAATATAATAACAACACTTCCAAGAAACAAGCTGACTCTCACCCACCCCGCCCTCCCCTTAAGAAAAAGCCAGGACAACTGTCAGGATCAAATATACAAAAACAAGCCACCTCAATGCCCCTAAGTGACTGTTTCAAAGACTGTGCCTACAAAGTACTAATTTCCACAAGGGAGAGAAAGATTCGTTCACGGCATGGTGCCAAAAATATAACACGTTCAACACTTTTGGCGGGTTTTTTTTTTTTTTTGCATTTGTATAAGTGCTTACATTATATGTTCATTATTCACACTTTTCCCCCCAAACATAAAACATGTCTCTCTTTTCAAGAAGGGCATTTTGGCAAAATTTATCTCTTCCAATGTTTCCAGAAGCAAGGTTCCTGCTCCCGTTCCAACGTAAACAGGACCACATTTCATGAATGACCCCGCGGTGGTGGTGGTGCTGCTGGGGAATGGCCGGTTCTAGGGGAAGACCTAGAACCTTCTTGGGTTTATTTTCTGAATTCTCTCTGATGGAGGACTGGAATGGTGAATTACACGGGATGTCCTAAGTTGAAACAACATCCCTCCAGGCCTTGGCGCTGTGGGAGAACTCAGAGTTTGCAATCTCCAAGAGGGTCCCCAGAGAGATGGCCCAAAAGCAGGGGAAGGATAGAAGGCAAAGTTGTTGTCTTTCTTCTTGCACTTCTTTCTTTCTTCCCCCAATTTTTTCCTCTTGGTTTCAATGACCACGGATGTTCTTTGAAGTTCAACACCAAGCCAGCCAGGTGGATATTTACAGCAGGGCATCCAAACGGCTACCCTGCGACCACTCCTAAGACAAGATGTTTCTACCCTACAGGAAGGCGCCATCCCTAATACCAAAGAAGCCACCGCTGACGCCATCCCCCAGTGGGAACACCTGCTCCTGGTCCAAGCCCCACTCACCCTC